TTTCTAAAAGTGTTTACAACGGCGTGGGCTGCCATCTCACTTTCACGCATATTTTTTGGCTTGTCAGATTGCACTTTAACTCTAAAGTAAAAAAAACAACAAAAAAAAAAACTTAAAACTTGTTTTGAACAATTTATTTGTCATCTGTAGTTTGATTTTGAGTAGGGGAGGGGAAAACGATTAAAATCGAAAATCAGATTTAATGTGAAAAATCAGAGATTTTATTTTTAGGACATATCGCCCAGCTCTACTGTCAGGATTTGAACCAGAGCATGTTTATGTATGTAGTACAAGTGGTTCAAGAGTAATAAGCATTTAATTTATGGAATTATACGGATTAAATGGCCAAACTGACATGAAGTAGTATAACAAGCACAGGTATAAGTAATATCATTAAGGTTACAAATATGCTACAATGAAATTTCATGGAAGCTTCATTAATGTCATTGCAGACGCATGCACTTGCCATACTATTGAAAAGGCCCACATGGCTAGTAAATATGGCTAATAAATGCCCTCCATTCATCAGAAGTGAGTGAGGTGTGCAAATTGGTCCCAGTGTAAGTAAACACTTAGGGAATCACTCGACTTTGCAAGCATCAGAGGTTATGTCGTGGCTGCATATGATAATTGGTGGCTAGGATGGGTTGAATAAACTATGCCCAGCACAACCTTAATACTATTTCATGTTAGTTTGGCTGCCATTAAAAAGGCCCATTAGTGATATGAAACCATGTGACGCTACCTTTAAGTCAAGATATCTCAGCAACACCTTAAAAACCAAAGACCAAATTTTCTTGAGATATTCATGACATTATGATATAGCTTTAGAAAAAAACTGATCAAATTTGAAATAGGTTTTTTATTATTGAATTTTTAAGATTTTAATTGGTTACTACATAGTAATTATTCATATGGGGATGGCATACTATTTGTTCAATCTATAGAGCTGGACAATAGCTTTAAAACAATATAGGACCACAACTGTGCAGCTTACAATAAGTTAAATATAGCCAGTCAAAGTCATAACCCCCCCCCCAAGAAGTTGAAGCTTTGTTCACTTAAATCTCCCTCTATACTGATCCCAGACAAGTTTTGTTAAAATCCATGACGATGAGGTCCGAAAATGTGATGGTTTGACATGGAATGACCCATATGCAAGATCGAGGCTTTACCTAGGATGTGCTTGCACACAGCAAAGGGCGATTTGGACTTGCGGAAGGAGAGGAACACGTGCTCTGCATGCTGGCGCTGCTCGGTGCTGACCATGGATGGCGGCGCCTGGGGAATGACATGGAGCGAGACAGTCAGGACAACTACAGCACAAAGCACTAAACAGGCTAAGGAACCACCAGTCACAGGTAAATGTACACATTAGGGATGAGCGATATGACCTAAAACTATTATCACTGTATTTTTCACTTTTGGACGGTGATGGTATTATATCACTATTACTTTTTTCCAAGTTTTGGGAGGATAAGTATGTCCTGTCCCTTTATACAAGTTAAAAGAAATATTTCATACTATACAAGTAATTTACACTTTACAGTTGGGTATGGGCGGTTTTATTTTGAAAAGATACAAAAAGTGACACAGGTAATGTTCTCATATTTGTTTTATAATTGTCGGAGTAACAATGCAAAGGGAATGACAAGCTGTTTCAGGCAAAAACAATGCATTTTACTTTTCATTTCAAATAAAATGCAGGGTTGCCAACTTTGGTCAGCTGTCTTGAGTGAGACTTTCAATTCGAGAGAAGTCTGCACACACATGCAAAAGTATTTACATGTATGTAACAGTTTTTTTTCCCTTGTAAATGGTATGTAGGGTTAGCAAACTACCCCAGCACTTTTAATGTAGCTAATTTTAGGTTTATAATGGAATACAGATTTGCCATAAGATTTCTTGCCTGAGCTGATTTGTATAAAACAATAACTAATATAAAACACAAACTTTGATGAACATGAAGTTACCAATAAACTAAGTCTATTTGTTCAACATCTTATAAAATACTGCTTTTAAAAACTTTTCAGCTGTACGATTACAAGACAGAGCAGCTACTCTTAGGAACATTTTGACTTTTTGGTTGAGGGTGATCGCTACTGTTAACACTAACAGTACATTAGCTCAAACAAAAGGGATGCATATATCGAGGACGTCTTGCTCGAAGGTGTATAATTACACAAACTTTATTTTGAATTTGATAATTTGCTATCACGAAACCCTGTCAGAGTATGTAATGGAAAAATCACACAATGTAGATAAACCAGTTACACAGACTATATAAGGATAAGTACAACAGAAGCTTTGATGAAAATAAAATGCTTTATTTTTCATAAATAGACTGTTGTATAATTAGGCTGTAACGTTACCAGTATAATGCAAATCTATATCGTAGTGTACAATCACACAGGTAATGACTATGACACCGGTGTAACGCCCATCAAAGTACACACACACAGACCAACACGCACAGCGCATCAGATGACAATTAAATAGTACTGGTCAACAAAGATGCGTCTTAAGCATGTATGGGCACAATAAAGATTCATTTAAGAAAACTTATTTTATTTCTATTTGTGCCATTAAGATTTCACAGAAGGGTGCAAGTACCGTAAGTCTGCTATAACATTTAGACACGTTGAGACAGGATCTCTCTCACTAATATGGAAAAACAATATCAAGGCAAGCTGAGCCTCAGTATGCACACTGATTTCTGCTGGACCCTTAATGCGGAATGTTCCTGAGGCCAAGTATAGCTGAAAATCATACACTTCTACCTTTCAGATGAATCACCAGGAACACATACTGAAAATATACTTATAAGTGTTTATGTGCCACTCAAAATTACAGCATGATATGGAAATTCTGATTATATATTCCAATTCAGCTCAAAATTGTTGTAAGACTCACCTATTTTGATTTGCGTTACAAAAGAAAGATTTGTGGACCAGTAGAGCCCACTATGAAAATCAAATAGCAAGAGGACACAGATGCTGAAACCCAAACAAAGGCCACAGTACTAGTCATATTGAAATGAATGCTACTGGGCAATTGCTACAGTGGCTGCAGGTGAACACTGACCGTAAGGAGCAGAAGCTGCCTTAGATTAATTCATAAGCAAATAAATCAACGTCATAAGCCAGTACCTCGCTACACTATATTTTATATTTTAAATATTATATAGAACCATAAGAACAGAGAAGGACTGATTTAAACTCATTTTCTTCCCATTGTATTATAAACCATTCAGGCAAAAGCAGACCATGACATACAAAACCTCCAGTTTATATCTTAAGTAAAGAAATGTCGGTGTTTGCCTTGACATACAATTTAATCAAAATTGGTCCAAATGTTTTCAGTTTTTGTACATAGTGTCCCTAGTTGAAACCATTCAAAACAGCAAAAAAAAATCATACAAGTGGAGACTCTTCAGTGCCATTGGCACAAACAGATATTTTGACTCTCAGCATCCTGAAGTGGAGTGAAGGACCAGTTTAATATACTTATCCTACTATGTCAATAACAACCAAGCACATGTCCTCAAATCTGGAGTGGAAAACGATAAACACACAACAAATCAAAGTCAATATAATAGCTAACCTACTGCAAATTCCTAATTGAAAGCCAACCAGGTTACCAGGTATGACAGTTACTGTAGATGTAGAAAATTGTCATGACAACAGTTGTGTGTGAGACGCTATCAGTGTTCAGATTTTAGTCTCTCAATGGGACTGCAAATCAGTACATGAGCACTCAGTCCAGACCAATGGGTTCTTAAACAGGCAATAAATTATCGCAACAATTAACATCAATAGTCAAGATAAAGTGGTTTCACTTATGGAAATCAGCAATGAGGACAATTTGTTAGTGTTAAGTGTTGTAGTGTGGCATGCATCTTAATAACTAATAATAAATAATATTTAAAACCCACTCATATCACCACCACAGCCTCCAGTGGTGCAAGCACACAAGGAAAAGCTTCACTTCAGGAAAATTCACTTACAGTTTAACACCTGGACACACACCGGGCTATATAGCATCCTCGGAAAAGTGGAACCTTTTCTGGAATGTGATCTGACAGGGCTTTGTGCACGAGCCGGGCGCTTAACCAGCAGGATGGAGCTCCTTCGGTGTGCCATGCAATACCTCAGGTTTTTTGTACAGCACACAGCCTGTCCAGTACTTAACTAAAAGCTCCACAAAGTTTGGAAAGAATATCAGTTCCTAAGTAACTGATGTGACAATTCATTTAAGTAATCAAAATCAAATTACTCACTGGTATTGATATCAAGCATCAAAGCGGTTAACAGTTGACAAGTCCTCAAAACATCCAGGGGGAATTATTTACAATTCTTTCAGATGCTAAATGCATTTAACTTTACTTATCAGGATAGTACCAACAGTATTAGACATGTTAATTAAATGACTTCTTAGATCTTTGAGGAAGAAAATTTCCTCCTGAGCAATTCAAATTGGTTGATTTATCTTTTAAAAAAAAAAAGTTACCCTGTTTGGAAACATTGAAACTACAATAACTGATCGACAATCTCAATGGCATCTGTCCTTGTCCTCCATATATTACCCACAATAAGATTAGTTTTAAAAATTATGAGGCATTAAAGTAGAAAGAACTAATAGCCATTTAGTTCATTAAATCACAACCTCTGAAAAGGAGTCCAATTAGGTGCCATTACTACTAGCTTTCTCAGGAGTAAAGCCAGATGAACTATAAAGTGTCAATTTTTCTTAAGGCAAAAGCACTCACACAGAACAGGGCATTTCTTAATCCATTGAGAGAGAAAACTGTGGAATGATAAAGCAACACAGAAGGAAAACATAGCTCACATATGAAAGTGTAGATATAAGGCCACAATACAATATTCCTCTACACTGCTTAAGAAAAATCCCATTAAGTTGATACATTGCTATAAGACAAGAACCCTTAACACAGCACAACATGCTTTACTACATATAGCAGCCTGGAATGCAATTATGTCCACAGTGACTTCAGCTCAACCAGCAAGGCAATTAAGTTGCACCTTGTTCAAAGGTTCCTCATAGGACTTGAACCTGAAAACAAATTCTACTAAACTTTCATATGCTCCAGCCAAAACAACCAATCCAAACATTATTACACTCCACTAGTTTTAGAGACGCTAGTGAAAGAACTCAAATTCAATATTTTCAAAATCAGAAAACTTTATCCCTGAAGAAATTTTGGAGTAAAGTATACATTCCCAGGTAAAGCGAGGCCTTAGAAAGCCCCAGTAAGCACTGCCAAACCACATATTCAATAAATACATTCATAAAAGCTTAAAACTCGTGAACCCTCAGCTCCATGGGTGCATCATGCTGGCTGATCCCCAAGCTTGCTCTCACCTGTACATGTGTCTGTGTGTCTCATGGAGAGCAGGATGGGGTAGGAGAAAGAAAATTATCCCATGTGGATTAATAAGTATCACTATTCTAATGGCTCATTTTTTAGCTTTTGGTAAAAATAATTGAAATAGCTCAATACTGTTAAAAATAAAACCGTGTGTAAATCCTCTAACCGGCAACAATGAGACCACAAAAATAGGCAATTAAAATCAAAAGTCTAAGCTAATTTCTTACTGTATGTCCAATTAAACCCCAACACTTTGTGTTTTAACTTTTATGAACCGAACACGATTTAACCCCCAAACCGTCAGAGCTCGCACAAAGTTAATCTTAAACTCATAAATCTAACTCAAAAAGCAAATGTGTCCAGGAGACAGATAGCTGATTAGTACTTAATAAAAGTTACCGCATTTGAAACTCACGGACTGTGTTGCTAGTTAACTGTAGCAACAGGATATATATGCGGCACACGGTTTTTCCGCGAAGCCGCAATCTGGCGAACGACGGCAGGAGCAAAAGGATAAAGCCCGGGTCTGAGGTTATGCCGCCGGCTTGTAGTCGTGCGGTGCTCGAGAGCCGTCTGTCGTACAGCGGCTGTACAGATTTATCTAAACATATTGAAGCGGAGAAGCAAACAAGGCTGCGGCATTAACCCAGGCTTCGGCACCTGCAAACACAACGAACTATTCTAAAGTAAGCGGGAGACTGGTGGACACGGCGGGTTTGTCGACTGGTTTTGCGGGATGGAGCGGGAGCTGGAGCGCTGCGCCACGCACAGCCTTCTCCCGAGCGAAGACAAACCAGCCCGGCGCCATTAAAGCCTCGCCTCCTACGGCTCGACATTTCAGCGTAACGTGAACAACCCAGCCCGACCGACTGCCTGCGCGGAAAAACAGCATTCTCTCCCTCACCATTAAAACTTTGGCAGCGCTTTCCAGCTGTGAGATCACTTCTGGTGCACCGACCGCCGCCATCATGGTCTCTGTTCAATGACGCGCCTTGCAGTGCATTGTGGGATCGAGCGGCCCTCCGGGCCAATGAGGTCACAAGTACTTTGGGCCGCATTCTCTTCCTCCTGTGCGGTCACGCAGTAGGCGAACACCACACGTAGAGACTGCGGCGCGAAATGATGTCCCGGGGTATGTCAGGGTGCGATATTCTTACCCAGCATCTAATTAATGGTCTCTTGTGTGCAGGGCTCCAGTTGTCTTGGGATGCACGTGGATGCCTACCCCCCTGAGGGAAAAATCACTAAAATCATCCATTCTCGTTTGCCCTCCCAACTCAGTAAATTTAACTGCTGGGACCCCCCTCTGGCTGACAAAGATTTTACCCCCATCATCCCCCTTGAAATATCTTTATGACTTGACTACTGTATGTATGCTGATATCTGAATACCAATGACTCCATACACTTACGATTTCATGAAATAATGTTTTTAGTATAAAATAGTTATTATAGCTATTTATATCTATTAAATGTGGTACTACATACTGTTACACATAGCCTAGGTACATCTTCACTCTGTCAGTCACTTCTCACATTCATCTTCCTAAAGTAGATAAGCTTGGGCTCCTTGGGGTAGCCTGAAACAGTGGACATCCACCTCATGTTGACATGATCTAGTACATGGGTTCCAAAACTTTTAAGCCCATGACAGCCCAAATAACAGTGCCCAAGGCTCACAAACCAGGGGTGGGGTTGGTCCCCCTCGGTTCATTTGGCACTGACCGGGGGGAAAGTCCCCCTTAGTAGATTTATCCTAATGGACCAGTTATAATGCATTTTTTCAGGTTTTCCAGTTATTATTAACAGAATTTGAAAATCATCTCACGACCACTCCAGGGTTCACTACCCTCATTTTGGGAACCCCTGATCTAATATAGTGGTCGGCAACCGGTCTCTCATAATTGACTACTGGATTGCCAAGACATTTCTATTCAATCATGACACAACTGCAACCCACCCATCAACAAAATGTACCCCCGGGGACCCCTGGTCAGCAAAATATACCATCATGATTTAGTAGCTCGCCAGTGTATTTTCTGTGTAAAAGCAGTTCTCACTGTAAAAATGGTTGGCAACCATTAATCTTGTACCTGATGAGCAGAATATCTTAGATCTTCTCTGAAGAACTGTTTTGATCGTCACTCTCTCCAGCTTTTTCTATATTGGCAATTTAAATGTATAAAGTGAAAAGATTTCAAGGCTGTCAAGCTGGGGTCTTTCTGCATGTATTTGCATATGAACAGAATCAGGATTCTAGGTCTGGTACCCAAAATACTTTTTGACAGCAGTTACGTCTCGTCTCATCAATTTTAAGCCATTATTTTGTGATGGTCAGTTCAACTTAGGGTCAGATCAAATTTAGAATACTTGTTCAGTCATAAACTTTGAACTTGATCTAAGGTGTGACCAAGCAATTCAAAGAGCATGAATAAAATGTAGTTTGGTCTAAAGACATGAACTTAGAATTATATTGAATGTCAAAAGATTTCACATGTCTTATATTAAGTAGTGACTTTCAATGTAGTTATTCCTGTAGTCAGCTTAGTCATTCATGCTGTTTTGGCTACCTGAAATATAAACAAATGTCAATTTAAAATTAATGTGTTTGTTTTTATCATTGTGGTAAATCTCAAGAATCATGGCCTCTGTTTTACAGCATGAAGCAAAACAAAAACAAAGTTGGTTTGAGTGAAAAATGTGAAACCAGTGAAATAAAAGACTTTAGCAGGGTTAAGAATGTTTGTATGTAGATGTTTTGAAAAGTATTGTATTTCAAAATAATTGTGGTCCCTACAGAGATTTCTAGTTTTTCTTGACATATATTTTATACAGCTAATGTATTTTTATAAAATGAACTAATCAAAATGATTATATTATATCCATGTGAAATAAAAACACAAGACAAGGCATAATGTTGAAGTTTATTTATACAGATACATTTTTACATGTGACAGACAAAAAAATTCTTTACAAATAGTAATTTCATAAATGTAAAAAAATGAAGAGGCGTGTCTCATGTTGATGTTTATGTTCATATTGATTGTGCTGTTAATGAAGGTTAATGCTGTCTGACAGAAGATTAAGGGTATAGGTAAAAGACATAGAAGTATCTGTATAAATATGTCTTCAAGAGTAACAATATTGCTTTTATACATTAAAGGGTATCAAGGGAGACAGAGAGATTCCACCAAATTAAAAATATAAGTATTATGCACAGTGGGAAAGTTAAATAAAAGCCTATATCAAAGTAAGGCATCCAGTCTGTCAAGGATTGTCAGTCAACACTTATATCCAAGACACACACACACACACGCACACACACACACACACACACACACACACACAAAATAAGATTTATAATAATTCATTTTTAATATATATATATATACCACTGATTCTCATTAAGCACTCCATTTGAATGAATGAATATGAATTGGCCCAAGTCTTTGCCCTCATGTGCTGAGGTCAGAGGGATTCTCAAGCCTGCAAGCTGAGCACTTTCCTCATCGTCCTTTGCTAAATAATCCTGATTGATCACAAGCCTGTTAAGACCCATTCGGTTTCTTATTGGTTCATTGTTATTCATTTTTGTTTTTGTTGTCCTTTACTCCTTGGTGTCCTGCAATACATTCTTTTCTCCATTAACCACTTTCCTATATATCACTCATGATAATGTAGAAGAGGACTTGATATTCCTGCCAGTAGACACTGCAAGTATCTGGTGCTAATGAAGCTTTTGTGTAGTTTCAGTCCTGCATATTTGGTCATCAATTTTTAACCTTGGTTTTATGAATTTATATATTGTAAACTACGTATTACTTATTATTAACTAGCCTGAGCACTAAAGGTAAAAAAGGTGTACTGATGTTGATAATAATTTACTCAGTTTGGTTTTTGGTTGGTCAGATTGTGATGCTTCAGGTTTTACCATATACCACAAAAGCCTAACTCCAGAGATGGCCACCATTGCTGTTTATTTTCAAGCTGGTCTGTGTGCTTCTGTCACTTGAGGACTGCCCAACTACAAGCCTCTGCCACCGGGATGATGTCATTCAGCATTTCATAACAGGTACATGATGTCATAAAGTGTGATTTATGAATAACTCAGGAGTGACTGGTATAAGGCTGCAATTATTTAATACCCTCTACCAAGTTACCGTCAAATATGAGGGTGATTTTTGTCCTCATTATTTTTACAGCTAAATTTGAACCAGGGGCCACACCCAGTTCACCCCCCCCCCCATTCTTGCCCATAGTTACTATGGTAACTGTACTCGGTGATTCTCATATGCAATCTTGTGATCTCATCTCAATTTGTCTACTGCTTAAAATTTGTCCCATTGAAACAAATGTTAATTACATGTTCGACTAGCTGATTAATTACATGTCTGACTTGCACTAAAGTAGGGGGATACCTGTAGTTCCCAAGCTGGAAAAAAAATAGAAATAGTTAATGCAACTAATGGGAACTTGTGCAGGTGTCTGCCAACATGCTTACAAGATGACATGGGACAACATAAGCCTCAAGAAAACTAACATTGGTAAATTTTGCTCTTTCAATGTTAATCTTGCTTTTCCCTGGGAAGTGAAAGATGTAGTCATCGTTTTAGGTTATAAATGTGCATGTACATTATTTGTCTTTCTCTCTCCATTCCCCATTCCCTCTCTCCCTCTCAAGCATCTGCACAGGACCAGCCCATGAATGACCAGAGGGGGCACTCTCCACTCCTTACCCACAATGCGACACGTTCATTCAGATGCACTCAGCTCATCACCATCACACCTCTCACACTGTTAACAAACCCATTTTTTACAAGAAAAGTGAAAAAAGAAACAACAATACAATAAAATTATTATTAATAATAATGAAAAAATAAAAATAATAAGCAGCTTTATGTCATGAAACTATATTCAAAGGTATAAACAGGTATATATATGTGATATATATATACACATCACACAACAAAAACATAACATGAAAAAACAGGGTATTTGTTGTGTGCAGGTATATATACATATACCTATACACACACGCACACACATGATACACGCACATCCTGTTTTGTATGTATATATGATAATTTCAGTATTGCACGTTTTCTTACTATATTGTGTTATCTGCAATAGCTTGTTTCACCCCAGGCTCCACCTACCCCTCCTTCCACACTGAGAAGTTTGTTAGAGACATTAACTTGTCCAGCTGAGTGGGTCTCGCTTGTCTTTGCTTTTGCATAATACTGAAAAGTGCCCAGGCTTACAACAGCTGCTATTCCACTTTGGACTGGGCCTCTATGGGTCTAGTGGGCCCATGAAATCGTCCTTCTTCTGCCGCCAAGCTCCCACTGCCCTGTAACGGCCAGGATGTGTGGGTCAGGGCTGGGAAAAGCTGCACCGATTCACACCGCACCCTGTGACAATCTGGGTGAGGAGCCAGCGCACCCCAAGACCCCCTCTGAGGTCACAAGCGCAACAAAAGTCATCTGCATTTGGACACAGCTCCCATGGAAAAAACAAACTTCAGAAGTAACAAAACCTGAGGGGAATTTCAAAATTGAATAGCGAGGACTTGGATTGCATGTCGGGGGGGGATCCTCAGAATTTCTGACCTGGTCCCATTCTTCTTCCTGATGTGTACAGTTTATGCTGGGTAGGAATCATCCATGCCTGTCATGTTTTCACAGCATTGTATGAAACTGCAGCAACAGCAAGTCAGCCATGTGACCCTAATGGCTGGTGGGGTTCTGGAGGTCAGGCTCCACCCATGACCTGCTGCCGCTGCTTTGAACACCTGCCCATGTGCCCCCACACCATGCTCTGACCATGGAGCAAGATCAGTAGGCTGGGGGCTGCTCCCTTTGCCTGTTGGGTGGCTTCTCTTGCATGGATAATGGCACCACATGTGCCCCCCCCACCCTCATACACATCATGTGACACGCCATCTCTCTCTTTCATTCCTCCACCTCCTTAATCACTCTTGCTCTACTGCTTGATTTTCTCTCCCTTGTCTCTCTTTGTCTCATTGTCCATCATTTTGCTGATAAATCAACTTAAAGAGCCCCTTGTCTGTTTTCGCGGCCCCCGGAGCTGTGGTGTGAGGTCTCCTGAACTCAGGGGCACCTTTCATTATTAACGCCGCTGTCAGGCAAGAGGGACCCCCCCCCCCCCTCCCAACTAAGCACATTTTAAAAACCCACAGACAAACACAGACACACACACAGTGCTGCTCCGGAAAGGGTATTGTTGAGAGTGGATGCGAAGGCCACTCGGACTGGGGGTGGGGGGTCACACATACACCGGCTCACAGACCTCAGTTGGCTCCTCCTCAGGACTGGAGCCACTAATCAGAGGCAGACCCTCCTCAGGTGGCTTCGGGCAGCGGAAGGGGCATCCATTGTCATCGAAGAAACGGCGGAAAGTGAACTCATAGAACGCATGTTCAGGTTCGCCCAGCTTGCCTTGGGTGGGGCCCAGTGTGTCGCCCCCGCTACCGCTCCAGGCTTCCGGCCCATCCCCCTCCACCGGGTCAAAGTTGGAGGTATCCATGGGGTGGCTGATCCTAGGCCGATAGGGTGCCGGCTGTGTGCGCAGGTTGCTGGAGAAGTCAATCTGGCTGAAGAAGGAGTGGGCCTTGATCTCTCCAGCGCCGTTACCGCCGAGCCGGTCCTCGGCTGAGCAGCACAGGCGGCTGATGATGTCTACTGCCTCGGCACTCAACTTCACCTGGGGCGGCACCTGCAGCGTGCTCTCCCAGTTGATGACCTAAGGGACAGAGACCATCACACTAATCACGGCAGACATAATCTCACTGACCATCACAGTCATGGTCACTCCATCACACTGATCATCATCACAGTCAGACTCCATCACACTGATCATCATCACAGTCAAGACTCCATCACACTGATCATCATCACAGTCAGACTCAATCAAACTGATCGTCATCACAGAGTCTCCATCACACCGATCATCATAACAGTCAGACTCCAACACACTAATCATCCTCATGGTCTCGATCACAATAACCATCATCACAGTCAGTCTCCATCACATTGATCATCATCACAGACTTTCCATGACACTGATCATCATCATCACAGAATCTTCATCACAATTGAACAATACAAAAACTCAGAGATCTTTCGTAAAATATCAGATTATCTCTTTGTACGTTCAGTACAAATAAATAAAAACTGCTGCATTGCATACTAGATAAATCTATATGAGAGCCATGTGTCATTGTATCACCCCATTCATGCTCAGACACTGTATGAGGCAACTGGGCCAAGTGTGAGTACACCCTCAGTCTAAATCACAGTGATCATCACAGAGTCTCCATCACATCATCATAAAACATTTGCCATCTTTCTTTACATGTTGATATTGCTGTTTTTTTAAACTGAGTACCTGTGGATCCCTGTACTAGGAAACTAAATGGCAAACTGCTTCAGACTGGAAGGTTGGACTGCTTGTTCCCTCCTGGGGTTTGAACTTCAGTAAAAGTGACTTCAGTAAAATATTCAGCTGCATGTTGTGTTTATCAAAGGCAATTATTACAACTAATTAATGCTATTGATCCAGGTGTAGTTTTAGTAGAAGCCTGACAGCAGGCTGTCTCCTGACACTCAAACCTGTAACATTCTGGGCAAAAGCCAGCTACCCCACCCAGACTCCACTGTGGAACAGATGCTTTCAGCCAACCTTGATCTGGGTCTCTGTGGGGGTGGGGGCCAGGAACGGGGGTTGTCCCACCAGCATCTCAAAGAGGATTACACCCACACTCCACCAGTCACACAGTTGGGTGTAACCTGCAGAGAACAGAGGCATTCATCTTCTAGGGTGAGGCTTGATGTGGCACTTTATTCTTATTAATCAAAAGTTATTTCTTTCAAGATGTCATAACAAATAACTTCCTCCTCTGATCCTTTGACTAACAGCTGTTTTTTTCACAATGATACATCATCTATTTTATTTGATATATAATTGAAGGTGCACCACATATTTTGCTTTCTACCCCTTGATGTGAAACAGTTAACTGTTAAATTCTGTGTCAGGGAAGTCATAGGTGCAGATCTCCTTTGCTCCCCATCTCCAGCTCCACCTTCTGGCTCAAATCCCACCGCGTGCGACCCACCTTTGCGTAACAGCACCTCGGGGGCAATGTAGTTGGGTGTGCCCACCAAGGAGTGAGCCAGGCAGCGCTGGTGCTGCCTCATGGCCCTCTGCTCCAGGCTGGCCAGCCGGTCACCGCAGCGGCAGTTGGACATGTCATCCCACAGCTCGCTCGGCTCCATGCTGTCCTGACGGGTGTGGCTTCCTGAAGCGAAGACATGATTTGATGTGTTTGAATATAGAATTTTTTTGGGAGTTTCTGGGAGTTTTGTGAACGTCTCAGACAACAAGCGAAGGCCAACACACAATATACAAAAAGTTTAACCCATAAATGCATTCATCTACGTACAGTGCTGTTTTGGAGGACAACAAGCATGTTTACGGCAGCGTCTGGCATGAAATCTTGCAGTGATCAACCCCCAACCCCCCCAGTTCGAGGTGCTTGCTTCGCTTTCCAAGGGGACCAATGGGACAAAAACTTTCAACACTTTTACCAAATTTGGGGGGGGGGAGGGGGGCTGCTTGAATTTCCATAAGTGATTTTAAACTACATAAAGACAAGTTTGGTAGTTTCTCCTCAACTTTTAGAAACTTTCCAGGGGCCAGTTTAACTCACAACAAAACAATATGACACACTGATCACAGAAGATCACACATTACTATCAGAGCTGCCCAAAGCCCATTTAGTGCCCCAGGGAACCTTCACTACCCAACTTAACTAAACTGGATGGGGCTAAACAGCAAATCTGTTGAAGAGGCATGGGAATTTTTTAAAAGCACATTGTTGCAATTGCAAGAGGACTCCATGCCTGTTTCCAGCAAAACTAAATCTAGGAACCTGCAGCCAAGGTGGTTTACTAAGGAAATTAAGAATAAAGTCAGGAGAAAAAGGGCTGTCTTCCATAAATGGAAGTTAACTAACGATTTCAAAATAAAGCAGGAGTATCTAAGTCTACAGGTTGAGTTAAAAAATAACATTAGACTCGCTAAGAGGAATGTAGAAAGGAAGATTGCATTGGAGGCTAAGGATGACATTAAAAGCTTCTTCCAATATTTTAACTCCAAAAGAGCTCTAAAAGCTGAAATCACTAATCTGCAGGATAGTAAGGGTCTTATGATTGAAAATGAAATTGATATAGTAAATGATTATTTTACACGGGTGTTCACAGTAAAGAACACAAGTAATTTGCCACCATTTAGTACAAATACAGTGTTGTCTATGACCAATATATGTATAACTGAGGCTGATGTGGTACAAAGCCTAGCTAAGCTCAAATGTGGGCAGTGGTAGCTTGATGGTTAGGGGTTGCACACTTGTAATTGAAAGATTGCAGGTTTGAATCCCTGACCAGCAAGACACCACTGAGGTACCCTGAGCAAGGTACCGCCCCCAAGCACTGCTCCCCGGGTGCTGAATTAGCTGCCCCCTGCTGTGTCACATATGGGTTAAATGCAGAGAACACATTTTGTTGTTATGCAGTGTGCTGTGTCAACAATGACAATTAATCACTAAATTCTAATTAAAAAAATAAATAAATTGCAGGGCCCTGATGGCATCTTACCTATAGTTTTAAAAGAGATGAGGGATATTATTAGCCAACCTTTAACATAATTTTTTCAGAAATCCTGAAAAATTAAGATGTAGGGATTTTAGGAACTGTAGAAGCTTGGATCGAAAACTGGTTAACAGAATGGAAGCAGCGGGTAGTTATTAGAGAAACAATGTCACAGTGGGCCTGCATTCATAGTAGGGTACCGCAGGGTTCAATTTTAGGACCACTATTGTTCCTAATTTACATTAATGATATTGACACCAATGCATAAAGTAAACTGGTTAAATTTGCAGATGACACCAAGGTGGGTGGTGTAGCAGATACTAAACTAGCAGCACAGAGGAACCAATTAAAAAGGCCAATAGGTTACATCTCTAGGTAAATGAACTGCATTTATATAGTGCTTTTGTACTCGTACAAGGACTTTGCAATTCATGCCTCACATTCACCCATTCATACACTGGTGGCGAAGGCCGCCACACAAGGCTCCAACCTGCACACTGTGAGCAACTTGGGGTTCAGTGTCTTACTCAAGGACACTTTGATGAGGTCAGGAGGAACCAGGGCTTGAACCTACAACCCTCTGGTTGCCAAATGATAGCACTAACTCCAGCGCCACCATCTTCCCCGGAAAAGCAGACAAAAATATCTAATTCCCCTCCCAAAGCTGTAAACCAAAAGGAAACACTGTCCAGGTATATAAGATTCTAACAGGTCTCGATGCTGTTCAGCCAAATGGCTATTTCAATATTAGTTTAAATATTAGAACTCGTGGCCATAGGTGGAAATTAGCGGGAGAACATTTTAAACTGAATTTGAGAAAACACTTCTTTACACAGCGTGTAGTTAGAGTATGGAATAGTCTTCCTGCTAGTGTAGTGCAAGCAAAAACCCCGAGTTCCTTTAAATCAGAGCTAGATAAGATTTTAATAACTCTGAGCTATTAGTTAAGTTCTCCCCAAACGAGCTTGATGGACTGAATGGCCTCCTCTCCTTTGCGAATTTCTTATGTTCTTATCTCAGACAGTAGCATCGCCAGCTGCTAAGTTGGCACCCTGTCAGCGGATGGCACCCAAGACGCCCACCTATGTTGCTGAATGGGTTGACTGGCACTGATTAGCATAAATATGGGCATTGCACTTCAGGCTGCGTATTCACAAAGCATGCAAGTGGAGAGCCAACGTATAACCTTATCACAATGTTTCTGCAATGCAAACATCAGCCTCCCCTTACCTTTCTGGTAATACTTGGAGTTATGTGTCCAGCGGAAGCCAGTGCACAAACCAAAGTCGGTGAGCTTGATGTGGCCGTCCAGGTCAATGAGGATGTTATCAGGTTTGATGTCGCGGTGGATGAATCCCATCCGGTGCACGCTTTCAATGGCCAGTGTCAGTTCAGCCACATAGAAGCGGGCCAGGTTCTCAGGGAAGACTCCCATGCGGATCAGCAGGTTCATCATGTCCCCGCCGGGGATGTAGTCCATGACGAAGTACAGGCTGTCGCGATCCTGGAAGGAGTAGTAGAGGCGTACTACCCACTCGTTGTCGGCTTCTGCCAGAATGTCGCGCTCGGCTTTGACGTGAGCCACCTGGTTCCTCAGCAGCACATCCTTCTTGCGCAGTGTTTTCATGGCATACAGGGCGTTTGTATCCACCTTGCGTGTCAGACACACTTCACCAAAGGCACCGATGCCCAGAGTCTTGATCTTCACGAACATGGATTTGTCCATCTTGGCACGCTTCAGTCGGTTGTAATTCGATTCCTTCTGATAGAGCATCTTTCTCATCTGTTCTTGCTCAGCCTCAGAGAGGCCAGCCTGGGGGGGTGGGTGGGGGTAGAGGTGAGGAACATGTGATATAGCAGTTCAGGACATGACATGAACTTCTAACCAACTGGTGATCTGTAGAAATGCCAGGAAGACGGTATTAAGTTGCACTGATTGATAATAATCTATGATAAACTTAACCATAACCCAAAGATGCAAAAAGAAGCTTGTCTGGGTCAATGTGAAGGACCTATCAATTAATGAGGTAGAAATGAAGTCTTTGCTTAACATCTGTGCTATGGTGGTTCAAAAGGAGCCAGGTCCATCCATCCATTCGTTTTCGCCAACTTCTTATCCTATTCAAGGTCGTGGGGGTTCCGGAGCCTATCCCAAAGGCTACAGGCCCAAGGCAGGGAACAACCCATGACAGGGCACCAACCAATCACAGGGCACACTCACACACACATGCACACCTATGGGCAATTTGGTAACTCCAATTTAACCTCAGCACGTTTTTTGGTCTGTGGGGGGAAACCAGAGTACCTGGAGAAAACCCCATAGGGAGAACCTACAAGCTCCACACACATGGAGCCATGATGGAGACTCAAACCCTGGTCCCAGAAGTAGGAGACAACAGTGCTAACCACTGTTCCACCATGCCACCCTGAGTTAGGTCATTCACCATAATTTTTATCATCCGCAATTCATTTGCCTACAATAGGCAAACAGCAGATACTAAGGTATTCTGTTAAGTACACATAAAATCAGACAGAGACACACATGTGCACGGACACACACAGCTTCAGGCTCTCACCTTGGACATCTCTTGTTCCAACTGCATTCTCCTGTTTAGCTTCTGCTGGTAAGTCTTCATTACATTCTCCACGTGCTGCTCCATGTAGAACTTGAAGGCAAAGGGCGAGTAACTCTTGATGCGGGATTCCCGCTTCTCTGTGTCACGGGCATTCTTCCGCACAGGCACCGGTGACGTCTGGATCTGCTTCTTGTCTTTGGCTGCCTTCTCAGCCTTGTTGCCCTTGGCTTTGTCCTTGGTGAGGGCCTCCCCAGCCTTTGCGCTATTGCTGGGCTCCACAGTGGAGTTTCCAGGGGCACCGTCTAAAGGTGCTGACTCAGGGCCCATCCCAGGCATCATGAGATTTTTGGGGTAGGGTGGAGGTGGGCAGCGAGGCTCTGGGGTAGGCTCTAGGGGATAAGAGTGTGGTTCAGGTGTGTCCTGGGTCTGAGCAGCTAGCCAGCCTGGGTGGCAAGGTCCCACAGCGGTCTTGGGCTCTGGTCTCAGAACCCGGATGCTCTTGACAGGCTGCTGGATAGGTGGTGAGGTCACAGCTGTGATGGTGTGAGGTGGCCCCAGGGCGGTGTCCTGCTTGACCGTGGAAGGCCTAACTGCCATTCCAGTGCCTCCCGTCCCGGTGCCACCAACCTTTTGTGGATTGTTAAAGGAGTTGGTCCTACTGGGGATGCGGACCTCCCCCCTAAAGGGCCCCTGTGGTCCCTGGGGAGGTCGAGCAGAAGCTGCCTCTGAGGGGCCAGGCTGGGCCCAGTGGTGCTCAAACAGGTCCAGATTGACACTGGCCCTGGAGGGTGTTAGAAGGGCCTGGGTGACATCAGCATAGTCGGGACCCACCGCTGCAGTGGCCTGCCGGTGGGGGATCATGTGGACCTGGTGGGGATGTGGATGACCATGTGGTGGGAGGTACAAGCCAGGAGAGTACCCAGCTGCCCCCCCACTGCTTTGTCCCAATGCCCCTTTGCTTTGCAGACCCCCGTACCCATCTGAAGGTGATGATGCCACTGGCATCTTGTTCTGAAAGGAGGAGCTCCTCTGGACAGGATAGCCTGATGACTCCATTACATGTGGCCGGCTGGGTCCATAGTGTGCTCCGCTAGGACCCCCTGGTGGAGAAGTCTGGAGCTGTAGGGGCTGCCCAGAAACGGTATAACCCATTAGGGCCTCATTTGGTGGATAGGCCTTCTGCTGGGCACCGGAAGGGAACATAGGAGCTCCAGTTGGGTTCTGGGCAGCCATTGAAGGGGGGTATGGCCCCATGCTGGGAGGGCGGCCCAAGGGATTGCTCATGGGCGGGCCTTGGTTAGAGGGTGGTGGGATCATGTAGCTCACAACTGGGCCACCAATATAGGGTCTGGGCATATCCCCCAAGCCAGGGGCACTCTCTGCTCCGTACCCAGGCCCATCATACATGATTGGACCCATCTGGTGATATGGAGGCATGGCGCTATCTGCCCCCCCATCCAGTGCTGGCCGGTGATCCATGGAGTTTGGCACACTCCCTTGGCCTGATAAGAAAATGAGTATGATGATTAGTGAAGTATGTACACTATCATGGCCACTTGTATCTACACTAAAGTATGTAGTGATAAATTCACAGAAACAGGCACAGAATGCCGCAAAATCAATTACTCATACGGTCAAGCTCTTTCACCATAACATAAACATTTTACTCTACAATATGCAAAATATTTCTTATGGTACATATTACAGTTTCTGCATTCTTAGTTATCATACAGAATTTGTATTAGTACAGACCCTAAATGTAGACTTCAACATGTAAACATTAACAATTATTGTGTTCCCAAGCTGGGGCAGACCATTGTTGCCGTAAACGCTTTGGTATGTAAGGCTATAACTCAAAAATTGATTTGCGGAACTTTTTCAAACTTTGCAGGCATATTGTCTGGGTGATGAACTGGAAGTGGATCTAAGTAGCGACTGGGCTGATACCTGGCAAATTAAATTTAAGGTAGATAAATGTAAGGTAATCCATGCAGGGAGCAGAAATATGAAGTACAGATATTTTATGGGTTCCACTGAAATAAAGGTAGCTGATTATGAGAAAGACCTTGGTGTGTATGTTGATGCTTCCATGTCCCACTCTCGCCAGTGTGGGGAAGCAATTAAAAAGGCCAATAGGATGTTGGGCCACATCTCTAGGTGTGTGGAGTTTAAGCCAAGGGAAGTGATGCTACAATTATATAATTCCTTAGTAAAACTCCACCTAGAATAATGTGTGCAGGTTTGGTCACCATACCTTAAGAAGGACATTGCTGCCTTAGAAAAGGTGCAACGGAGGGCTACGAGAATGATTCCTGGTCTTAGAGGAATGTCTTATGAGGAGAGGTTAGCTGAGCTAAATCTGTTTAGCCTCAAGCAAAGGAGACTGAGGGGGGACATGATCCAGGTCTATAAGATTCTAACGGGTCTGGATGCTGTTCAGCCAAATGGCTATTTCAATATTAGTTTAAATACTAGAACTCGTGGTCATAGGTGGAAATAAGCGGGAGAACATTTTAAACTGAATTTGAGAAAACACTTCTTTACACAGCGTGTAGTTAGAGTATGGAATAGTCTTCCTGCTAGTGTAGTGGAAGCTAAAACCCTGAGTTCCTTTAAATCAGAGCTAGATAAGATTTTAATAACTCTGAGCTATTAGTTAAGTTCTCCCCAAACGAGCTTGATGGGCCGAATGGCCTCCTCTCGTTTGTAAATTTCTTATGTTCTTAATTTTGTGACAGATTGGATTTTGAGACAATTTTTGTAGCAGTGCCACATAGTGATACCAAAAAAGGGCAGTTTCAGACATTTAATCCTATTAGTGCAATAACTCAAAAAGTCAAACGAATAACAAAAATCATTTTCACCATTTGCCAACATGTTGTAAGGGTGAAGATCTGGACCTGGTCAAATTTTGAGACAAATTGTACTAAAATTGAAGCAACATTGCTTAGTGACAGTAAAGTAAAAGATGATTTAAATAAGATGCTTAACCTTGTGAGCAGTATAACTCTATTTGATATTATTACACTATTAAATCTTTAATGGATTACCCGTGGATTTTCGCCTTCCTGCCTCATCTTTCCCCGCTAACGTAACAATTACTGCTTCACAAAAACATTATATGGATGAAATCCTACACTTGAAAATCTACACCTGACAGACCTAAGATCTAAGTCCCAAAGCTGAAATTGCAGCCAAGGGTGAAAATGGAGGCTTGGAGACACCATCTAGTGAACAAAGCCACTGCCATCTAAATGTATTCCATGGAACTTTTTGCAAACTTTCCAGGAATACTGTACAGGTTAGTGATTGTAATGTTGTGGGGAGCAAGATGATTTTCTAAATATTCTAAAATAAACTTTCGATTTTTTTTCATCACCAGCACCCATGCTCTGTAAATTTTATTAGTGGCAGTCCGGTGGTCAGTCAATGAAATTCATAATGGGGAACTTGGTGAAATTTACCATGGGGGAAATTAATTGTGTCACATAGCCCAAGTGCAAGTCAGTGGTCAAGATGAAAGAACAGGTGCAGATCTGGTGAACCCGATTACATTAACACAAGTCAACAAGTCACACAAATGGTGCCAGAGGTACCAGAAAAATAGCCCAACCCCTCACTACGACCCCAAGCAGTATAGGGCACAAGGCTGGGGTACACCCTGGATGGGATGCCAGTTCATAGCAGAGTACATACAATCATACTCTGTAGGTATTCAGAAACACTAATTAGCCAGTTGGAGGCAATTGGAGGACCTAGAGGAAACCCACTCCACACTCGACCACCATGCCCCCAATTTGTGTGTGTTTATTTTTTGCAGTTTACAGGAATATAACATAAATGGAACTCACCCGGTGAGGTCTGCCTGATGACGCGCACGATCTGCTCGTTCCTGGGGTCCAGGTAGCCCATCTTGCTGATGAACTCCAGCGCTGCTTCGATATTCCTGCTTCCTGTCTGCTTCAGGGCACGCACCGCCATTTCCTGTGTGCCACAGGGATGCATAAGGCCAGTGGGAAAATGCAGGAGAAAAAAAAACAGCGAGCTAAACAATGCGGCATGTCATAATGTCTTGGTGTTCCCACTTCCGGAAACCTGACACCGGAAAAGACAAAAGTGAGGAATGTTAGAGTGCCAAAACAAGAAAACTACTAATCTACCATACGAATAACTTTTAAACATTTATATTAATATATTTTATAAATAATCATTTGCTGCAATAATACCAAGAAAAAAATCGTGGTGTGTGTAAAATTGATTCACACTGATGGGAGGCAATTCATGAAAACTCTGACAAAGTACTTTTCATAACTGCATTTTCTTCAGCGCTCAACACCTCACATTCTGGTCTTTATGTTGTTAGCTCTGCCTTTCAGAGGTTTCATTCAAGTGAGAGATGCTTGACTCAGCTGTAATCTGAGGTCCTCACAGAGTGTATTATTGATTGGCTTCCCTCTGTTCAGAGATGTTTAGTATAAAAAGAAAGCCACTATAAATAGCTAGCGGTATGAAACGACTCAAAATGCAGAGGTCTCTTCCCCAGATACTTGAGATCGAGCAATCACAAGTGTTATTGGGGAGCTCATCCTATATAGCGCATGACTTCACTACAGAGACATTTGGCAAAACCGTAGTTTTACACATAACACAACTATTCTGATATACTGCATTTAATGGTTCAACAACAGAACTGCAAGCAAACTACAAAAGTAGAGCCATGTGGATGGACAGCATAGCACTGCCTGAGCTTTTACAGACTATAGCGACTGGCAGTCTATCTTAAAATCAGAAAGAAAAACAAGATCACCATCCTGTTATTTTTAATGTGCTGCTTAGCTAAAACTGAGAAAACATGTTTAATGCTGGATGTTTGAAAGCAGTATGAGGTTCTCAAGGGTGCAACAGCAAAACCCTTTACAGGAGTTCAGCTAACAGCTGTCAGGTTACAGTCTATGTCCTTAACCACCATGCAAGTTGCTCAGACCCCAGGCTGACCTGCAGTGCAGTCAAACACAACTCTTCTGGGCTCCCCAAGACATCCCCCGGACACTAACTGCACCGGACACGCTTAGACTGCTCTATTGGGCACTACTGCCATCAGCTAAGACATTATGTCATGTGACCAGTAAGAAAGCAGCCTGGAATTCACAGGACAACTGGACAGAATGCAAAGAAGGGAGCAGGGGGGTGTATTTTAAGAACCACAACCCCACCAAAAAAAACATAGACATACACACATACACATGTAGCAAACCAACACTCCATGTCTATTTATGGTCACCGGTTGTAGAAGGCCAGTTGGTTGCCTGGCTGTATATCTCCGTAGCAACAACCAACCTTTTCACATCCTCTCTACATTTATGCTTCTGCTTTTTGCCAACAGGGGGAGAAAAATATTGGTTCAGTCTCCAAAAGAGGGGTAGTGATTCGAAGAATCTCTCACTCCCAAGGAGCCACTCTCAGACTTCATTTTCTGACCAGGAATACAGCCACATCTAGGTGTCTCCTCTTCATTTTTTCATTTATTGTCTTAACATTAGCTCAATGGATTCCAAGTCTTTGATACAGCAGGAAGTTTATAAAGCTCCAGGGTGATTGATACTAGTTGGCATTTTTACAAGGATTCCACTAATACACCAATGGTCTGGAAGGGTCACTTAGAAGCCCTCTTGACTGACGGAGGCCAAAGTGTTTGATTATACTTCTCATAATTGACAATATGATGTAAGAGCTGTGGAGCCATATTTTTCAAACTCACTTAAAGTTCACATAATGCTGGTAAGTAATAAGACATAGTGATAGTAATAAGACAGCCCCTGCTCTAGCAACTGAAGGTCGACCATCAGAAACGGCTTCTCTTGAATTTCTTGTTTCTATACTGTGCTGCGGTCATCTGAAAGACTTCTGGCAAGGAAGTGAGCCACGTTTGTTTTCGCCATTTCACATATTCACATATATTCTTAAAAATACACACTAATATAAGGTTAGCTTTTCATTTCACACTGCGAAAAACACAAACCACCGCAACAATGAGCCTTGGTCACTCCTCCCCATGATAAGTCACCTCCCCCCCTTCCGGAACATTCCATCCTGAGCACACATAAAATTTTGCCTTGACTCCTTCTCACACAAAACATTCCACCCTGACTCACACAAAACGCCATACATTGACTCCACCTGACATACAGCACATTCCGTCCCAGATTCTCTCTTCCCTAAGAGTCCCAGAATTCCTCACTTGCAGCATGTTAAACATTTCTACCCTGAAGAACTCTGCAAGAAGGTGTTCCATTCAAGCTCTTCCTTCCTCCCAGACCACAGTACATCTCTACACTCTACAGTTCACTCCATAGCATATACGCCGCCTGCCCTGGCTCCACCCCCAAGGCCTAGCCCCGCCTGTTGTGCCTCCTGTGAGGTACTGGACCTGGCATCTGAGTGATGCTCTGCACTGTCATACAAGGCCTTCATTGTGCTGTCTGCTTCTAGCAGGAAGAAGCCCCTTAGACACACAAGCCTTTCTGACACTGCATAACCACACGAGCCCCCCCAGCCCCAGACTTCAGTGACCCATTCAGGTCTTAAAATAGGAAACAGGGGGGAGAGTCTGCAGGAGTATCTGCCAGTAAAGTAGCAAACACATTGCTGCTACCTAGTCCAGACCACAAACACCGACTGCAAAGACACATTAAAACTGACACAAGCATGAACAGAATGGCCAGGTCAAACACACACACTATAAACTGACCACAAATACACAGAGCAAGACCACGCTATAAATTGACCACAATCACACATAGCAAGGCCACGCTAAAAACTGACCACAAACACACATAGCAAGGCCACGCTAAAAACTGACCACAAA